AGGTACTAAAAGTGGGTAAGGCCCGTTGATAATGAAATAAATGAATAAATAAGTATTTAGACTGAAGGTATTTATATTGATTATAGAGTAAGATGGGATATTCACATTGAATATGTTGTCAAGAGGACTAAATATTTATTATGTATTTATATTCACAAAGTTAGCTGGGCTAATGCATCCAAAATCGATGCTGAGTGTCTATTATGCTTCTTTTCATAGTTTTTTTTTTTAATTTAATAAATAACAAATTACAATTTTCATCTATTCTAAGCCACAAGTGGCACAAGTTAAGCTATGCATTTTGTTATTTGCTCCTAAACAGCTAAACGGTGGTAACGGAGCAAGATACAATTTGATTCAGACTACACAATATTCAGTATATGTAACTATGAAATTATATCCTGGGGAGGCGTATAATATAACAACGTCAAATGTACCTTGGAAATTCTCCAAAAAAGATTACTGAAAAAAGTCCTTAAGGGTGATATTAATCTCCCTCTTCCACTGAAATTGGAATAGTCTTTAATTTTTGAGCCTCTTACATTTCATTAGGAGGATCTAAAAAGGAACTTCATGCAATCAAATAGCATAACAAGAAACAAAACCATCAATTTACTGAGGAAAACCACCTATTTAAAATATTATTTCTTTGAATCTTAACTTTTTAAAAAAATGTTTACTGAATAAAAGTAAATGTTGCAACCATGTAATGCTCCGTGGAATTGATGAGAACGAGAGCGCGCTGCAACAGAAAGGTACCGAACCGAACGGAAGGTAGAGAAGAAGCGATTAGGCATTAGAGAGAAAACCGATTGTTCAATACAATTTGTTATTAGTGTGTGTGTCAAGGAGCGATCACAGGTAAGTTGAATCATAGTTATTTTGTTTGTGAGAGTTCAATTATTTTTTCCATAGCTACTGGTAAAGTAGCCTTTAATCTACTAAAAATAGTAGATAAAGTAGTACTTTACCCGTAAGGGTAGATTAAATGATACTTTAACAGCAAGGATAGATAAAGACGTTTATTTTGTCAAAAATATATAGGTACATATTTTGATTTTTATCTATTTGTCAAAGTCTCTCAAACGAAATTCTACCTATGCAAAAGTGTTCGACTCAAATAATTTCTAAATATTTTTGATACTACAGGCGTCCATAATAAGGCCGTGGAAAAAAACTTTGTTTTACACACGACGATAAAATGCCATTATCGTCTCCCGGAATTAATTCTCTCCCGATTTCGTTCGTGAATTAACTTTTCCGGTCAACGATAAACTACCATTTTATCGTCTTGTATAAAAAATAACTATCAGTATCAAGTATAATTTTTTTCATTTTTGTTTTTTTTGTTTGTTTATAACATTTTTCATAACATGTTCATTGTATTGTATTAAAGAAAAATCGTTTCATGCTGTAAACAACACCGATAAAGAGTAAGTTAAAAACTAGAGAAATTATGTACTGTCTTTTTGTGCTGATATTTTGATTTTGTGTATTCAGAACGTGCATTAGGGCCTTGTTGAATTTACTAACATTTTCCTACCCTGACGAGCGAATATCCTACCAAACAAAGGAAAGAGATATTGGCACAAAATAACAACTATAGCTGAGTAGCATCCCATATGGGACCTCAGTACCCTCCGGCAGACCGGCTAACTAACAATAAACTCTTCAGTATTGATTACAGGTAGTGTTGATTGAATGTAGTGTGTGTAATTGAAATTTTAGCATGAGAACAGGGTGCAGCAGTGGCGGCTCGTATATTAAAAATGTGGGGGTTGCAATTTCAATTGTACAATCATGCATGTTTTTCGTGAAAGTCCAGAATAAATGTCCTGGTGAAAGTCCTTTTTTTGCTAGTTACAGTTTGTTCAATTTTTAAATTTGGAGTAGGCCTTCCAAGTCTTTTTATTTCAGCCTTATCGGTTGATGAACGCCCACAGAATGGCTCGACAATTAAATTTTGAACAGAATTCTTTTTTTTTTTCACCCCCCACACGACAAAACTTCACAAAACAAACCTAATCTGCGCTGCGAGCAAAAAAAATAAACAAAGTTTGCACTTAGCTTGCAACCTGCTGGAGCTTATGGAGCGGATTTCGAATCCACGCAAAGACAGGCAACCAAATGTGCGCCGTCATATAATAGATCGGTTTGCTTTGGAGCTGCAATCCAGCGACTCGACGCCGCTACTCGAAGTCGCCGGCGGCCTGTCAGTTATTAATATTTTGGCGAAGTTGGTCAAATTATTTTATTAATTGACTGCGTATTATGTAGGTCCCAAATTTTGGTATAATTTATTTTTAAATATAATTAGGTACTAAAATTTAGTTCTACTATTTTTGTTTTATATTTTTTAAGTTTTGTTTTGGGGGTTGCGCAAACCTGCAAACCTAAAGAAGAGCCGCCACTGGGGTGCAGTACCTAGTTTCAACTTTTATTGAATTAATGACTCAAAGTTATTATTAAAATGACACAGTATGTTTCGATTTTTGACGAATGTTAGATCGAGGGTTTCTCTGCCGTGCTCTCTCCCCTTGTTAGTTCCAGAATGAGAACGGTACGATTTACTTTAATAATAAAGTAGACGTTTAAATTTCCCTAATATTTGCTATATCGGGCGCATGCCAGTAAGTAAAATAGAGTAAGTTTCCACAACGTAGGTCCTATTTGTTTTTCATTTCATTTTTCAGAAGATTTGTTGTTTAAAAGGTAATAAAAATTCACACCGTTCAATCTTACTGAACGAACCCGGGTATGTTATACTACATTACCAAAGATAAATCGAACTTTATTTGCTAAAAGTACCTAAAGCTTGTTTTTTTTTTGAAGATTATTCCCCAAGTCAAAAATTTAGTAACTTTGTTGGCAACACAAGTAGACAAGCCTGGTCTACGTAAAAAATTTGAAAGCATTGACAATTTTACATTGTATTGCCAACATGATATAATTTTGACTTTTACCTTTAAAAAAAAAATACACTTTACTTAACTGCAATCAAGACTCTCAATAAACTTCCAAATAAATACAAAACTTTGAAGTACAATAAAGAAACAGTCAAACAAAAATTTAAAAAATGGGTAAGGCATAATGTCACAAGTGCACCTACTGTTATTGTAGAAAACACTTTCTAAACAGATAGTTTTATTGATTTTTATTAAGTCCGCGTTAATGGCCGCCATTTTTAAATTTAGTTTTTGAAAATGACGACTGCGTCACTCTACACATAGGGTTCAATATTTTTTTATTTGTCCAAAACAAAATCTGTTTGTCGGAGAAACACTTAGTGACAGAGAAAGACAAATATACAACTATGATGCTCCCAATGTAGCTTTTTTGCCGTGGCGCCATCTACTTGAAATTGCTTGAACTGTTTTCACCTTCAAAATTCGTTTTAAGGTCATCTCAAAAAATCCGCAATAATTTCCAAAATCCTTTGGCATAAACATTATTTGATATATTATCTACAATCTCTACAATTAGCTTTTTTTAGTTTTTCGTGGTTATCAATAAAATATGCTTTTCACGGATCCAAGCTAAACATGCATATATGCAACCACCAACACATTTAATTGTTTTGGTGGTTGCGAACATGATTTTTGTTTATGCCAAATTTGAGCCAATTCTGATGTGCCGTTTTTTTAAAGACCTTAAAACAAGTTTCGAAAAATCAACCTATCACAGTTTAAACATGGCGGCCATTAACGCGGCCTTAAATAATATTCTCCTGCACGAATAGCATTTAGCATGCATTATTTTGGCAAGGTAAAATTTTCATTTTTGACCATTCAGGAAATGAAGTTCAACTAGAGCGGTTCAAAAAGTTCATGTTTGACTTTTGCAGAGCTAAACTTCAATTGAGAAATTGTGAAAATCTTATTCCTGACTTTTAGACCTGATATTTGGATTGAAAAACATAAAATTTCTATCTCTGGCGGCCCTGACGCTCGTAATACAAAAATTGACCAGGAAAGTATAAAACTTTGATGTTTGACCATTCAAGAGTTAACGTTGAGCTGGAGCGGTTAAAAAAGATCATGTTTGACTTTTGCAGAGCTGAAGTTCAACTGGGAAATTGTGAAAATCCTATTCCTGATTCCACTAGAGCCGAAATTTGAACTGAAAAGTGGAAAATTTCCATTCCTGGAGCTCGTAATACAAAAATTGAACTAGAAAAGTGCAAAACTATGATTTTTGACCATTCAGAAGGTGAAGCTGTTCAGATGAGCCGTTCGAAAAGCTCATGTTTGACCCTCGCAGAGCTAGAATTCAATTGGGAAATTGTGAAAAACTTATTCCTGATTCCACTAGAGCTAAAATTTGAACTCAAAAGTCGAAAATTTTTATTATTCGAGTTCGTAATAAAGAAATTGAACCAGGAAAGTTTAAACTATGATTTGTTACTATTCAAGAGGTGAAGTTTAGATAGAGCCATTCAAAAACTTCATGTTTAACTCTCGCAGAGCTGAAATTCAATTAGGAAATTGTGACAATCTTATTCCTGATTGTTAGAGTTGATATTTGGACTGAAAAGCATAAAGCCAGATTAGTGTAAAACCTTGATTTTTGGTAATTTGAGCAGTAAAGTTATGTTAAAGCGTTTGAAAATGAAAATGCTCATGTTTGACCCTCGCAGAGCTAAAATTCAATTGGGAACGTATTATTCTCCGCTCCACTAAAGCTGAAATTTGTTCCCTAGGAGCAGAAATGGGAGGTTGTGATAAAAAAAATTGAACCCGAAGTGTAACCTCTGATTTTTAAACATTCAAGAGGTAAAGTTGAGTTTGAGCGGTTCAAGGTAGATTTAATGTATAACATCATTTAAAAGCAAGCAAGTATGAGAAGCCAAAAAAAAAAGAAGAAAAGAAGTAGCATGTAATAGAGACAGTGGTTAATAAAAAAGGATAATAAAATAAATAAATAAATAGTATCTCGCAATAAGCAAATTGGTGGAACAAATTTATAAATATCATTAAGAATTGATCAGTAAATAATCTTACCATTATGAGATGACGTCGTTGGAGCACTTATAATGGCACTATCCGACAACATTTTCTTTATACTCTCCACTTTCTTCTTTCGCCGCTCCTCTTCTTCAGCACTCGGTGCCGGCATGTGCTCTGGTATATACCTCTCGGGTATAAAAATTTTATTCGGCGTACTCAGAAGATTATCGATAGTTTCTTCATTGTATTTCAGCTCTTTATTGCTCAGAGTTGATCGCACCAAATCGGGGGCATCTATTCTTTGCCTCAAAGCTCGTTCAATATCCAAATCGTCTCTTGCTCGCCGGCCTTCAATACTCCCTAGGGTCATTAGGTTTTCGTGGGGTGCTGTATGGTGTCTTCTGCGTTCTTTTGGAATAGCTCTGCGCTGAGATTGAGCTGTGGGGCTCTTATTTGCTACCTAAAATTGCAGTATAAAAGAACCATGTACTATATAAAAATTATTTAAAAAAAATTACCTCTGTGATAATTTGTCTAGCAGCTTCACTTTTAAACACAGGACTGAGTTGTTGTGCAGATTTTTGCTTGTTGTTAGTTCTAGTAGGCAAAGAATGGTGTTCATATGGCAGTTTTTGTGGTAACGATGTGGGCCTAAACAGCACAGAAGATCCTTGAGAGGAATCGTCTTCTTCAACCAAAGGATCGCATTTTCCATTGAAAGTTTTTTCTCGATCTCTTTGCCGACGTTCCGATTCTCTTTTAACAATCCTGACTGTTTTTATTTCTTGTTTTTCGAGCGGATTGGAAGACAGGCCAGTATCGTCGCTTGTCGAGTCGCTGCGGTCCTGGAATTCCGGAGGTGTTTTTATGTCGGTGTTAATGTATAAAGGTGTTGTAGATGGACTAGAGTAGCTGTCGTAGCCGTGGTCTATGGAATTCATAGTGTCCAAATCTGTTTCGCGCCAAGACGATGTTATTGGTTTCTTTTTGTTACCTGAAATTTAAACACATAAGATTTTGTGAACAAATAATTCCAGAATATGTACTTACAATAACTATTTGGTGAATGATTGTCAATTGGAGAAGAATGTCTGTTCTGATTTAAACGAGGCGTACTAGATCTGTCGGTTAATTGTCTGACTTGAAGACTTAACTCCTCACGTTGTTTTTGAAGGTCCCCGATTTTCTTCTGCACTCTTTCTAAATTGGATTCCAAAGCTTGACTAGATCCGGATAGATATGGCAGACTATCACCTGCATTGGAAAATTGCGGCGAGCTTCTCTGTTGTCGGGAAGTTTGCAATTTTTGTTTTAAAACTAACAGCTCTTGTTCTAATCGAGCATTTCCAGCAACAGTTTCTTCTAGTTTTTTGGAATTTTGTGCCAACATCAAGTGCACCCTACTCAGTTCGTTTTCTAATATAAACTGTTGTCTTCTAGCATGCTCGATTTCTTCGGGAGTATTTAAGCCTTTCATTAATCTATTTCTCAGACCTCCAAGGGCTCGTTCTATGTCTTCTTTGTCTCTTTGCAGATTATGGAGATTTCTTGATTCTTCTTGGATAAGGCCATCCAGCTGGTATAATTGTCTGACTTTTTCTTGCAATTGCAAGTGGCTGGGTTCGATTCTATTCCAGTCGCGTTTTTCTTCAGCTAAAAGTCTACGTTCTTGAACTTGCTGGTTGAATTCCAGTCTTTCACGGATATGTCTCGCTATATCACTCCTTTCATTAGGATTTCTATATAAAGTTCCCAGTTTGACCATGTTATCTACCAGATTAACCAAAGGTTTTCGTTTTTCGTATTGTTTTTCGAGTTCTAAAAGGTTTTGCTTGATCCTTTCCAACTTTTGAAGGTTTTCCATTCGTTTCATTTGATCCATATTGTTCATAGTAGGTAGCTGCAAAGAGAATTTGGAAGTTATATTATCGGTTTGACAAAAGTGCAACAGAAATGTTAGGCCAAGAAACGCCACCATGATAAAAGCTTGTAGATGGTAGATTAGTCAGCGAAAATTGATGATTAGTCATATAAACAGTAATGACGTCAAACCTGTAAGGAATCAATTTCATTATAGCAACTTTCTATTGCCTGAAATGTTTGTGCTTGTTGCCTACGCAGCTGGATCAGAAGCAGGACTAGTTCTTCGTGAGTTCTACCTAGAAGTTCTCCGGCCGATACGTTTATTTTCGTCTTTGAAGCTATTTCCTGTTTGCAGAATAGAAGATGTAGGGAGGTAGATTATGATTATGATATTTGATAACAAAATGGAAATAGTATTTAGGTGGGTACTTTTTGCTTTCTAGTATCTTTTCTTCACTTGATTGCTTGCCAGCAAACTGCAATCGCGTGCGGAAAAGTGGCACTTTCCACACTAGTTAGGAAATATACTATTTCAATATAAAAATATATAACAAAATCTGCTGGCCCACAAGGTATTGAAACCTTTCAGCACAAATACTTGCTGTTGTAAGTTTATGTCATATCAAATTAATTGGAGTACCTAACTCAGTATCTTATATTTTCCTATTTTGAGGATGGTTTTTTTCCCCATGCAACCAAATGTTTCAAACAAGTTATCAATTATGGGCTTACATTTTGAGATGTCCTGAATTCTTGGTCTCGCTCGTACATGTTATATTGTGACTGATTCGTCCACGTTGGATAATTTGGTCTAAAATAAATTGAGAAGTTAAAAAAGTATTGATATTAACAAGATAAAACACTCACGTATTTTTGTCATATTTATAAGTTGCTCGATCCAAATTCGTAATACTTCTGCTTTGCATATTTTGCATGTTGGGAGTAACATTTTGCTTCGTAGTCATTCCCCTTGGAAAAGTATCCCTTCCCAGAGTAGCGTCTCTTGTGTTTATCGATATCGATCCCGAGGCTATAATAATGAACTAAAAATTTACTAGAATACTTTTTAGTTATGTTTTTGTGTTTTCAAAAATATTCTCAAAATTAAGGTTGTTTTCATTGTTGTAGTGATCCCATTTGGATGATGCAATGGAAATATGAATAATAATTACAAAGTGAAATATATAAAATTGAATTGATCATTATGAATGGGTCCTGAAGCTTTATAGGGCAAGGACTGGAAGTTTCGTAGATTTTTGATTACAATCAATGACACAGAAACATTTGTTGAAGATCACATGGATCATGGATTTTGATGACAGATTGAAATCAATCACATGACCCTACTAATCTCTGCTGGGCATAATAGAATAACATTTCTGCAATCTATCATTTAAATAGGAATTGTCTTTGGTAATGTAAACATTCATATTAAACCCAAAAATTTTCACCCCAGATCACTTCCTATAGCTTTACAAGATAATATCAAAGCTGAAATTATTTGCCTTGTTAAAGAGGATGTACTCGGACTGGTCAACATGTCAACTGATTCTAGCTCTGAGGATTCTAGAAAGGTCAACACCTGTCGCAATGAAATCAAATGGTAGTATCAGTCTTTGTGGAGATTTTTCCGTCATCAATTAACTCACATGTCATCAAAGATAATTATCCAATGCCTAGACTGGAGGATGTTCTATCTAAATTGAACGGTGGCAAGTATTTTTCTAAACTTGATTTGAAAGACGCTCATCTTAAACTAGAAATTCATCCAGGCTCTAGAAAATACTTAGATATAGCCACGCACCAGGGCTATTATAGATACAAACGTTTACCATTTGGCGTAAATTTTGCTCCGTCACCTTTCCAACAAACAATGGATCAGCTCTTGTCAGGCATCGATGAAACTGTATGCTTGATTATATTTTAGTATCAAGTCCTTTAAAACTTTTGGAACAGATTCTAGAATGCCTGTGTGATGCTGGTTTAAAGACACAACTATCAAAATGTATCTGGCTGCAGAAAACTATACATTTTTTGGGACACACTATCAATGCTGAAGGTTTACATTTTAAAAAGCAATTCAAGGGATACCAAGTAACATAACAGAACTTTAATCTTTCTTAGGCTCAATCACTTACAACAGCAGATTTATTAACAAACTTCATGTTGTCTGCGTACCACTCTATGACAACCCCAAGAAAGGCAACACGTTGTCTTGGACAAAAAAAGATGAACACTTGTTTCAAAAACTTAAATTTATTCTCACTTCATCTGATATTTTGGTACACTACGACCCAAAATTACCCTCAATTATAATCAGCGATGCCAGTTCAAAAGGTTAATGAGCAGTTCTTTTGCACAAATTTCCAAATGAAAGCTTAAAACCAGTGGCTTTTGCATCAAGGACACTGAAAGAATCATAACAACACTACGCAGGTATAGATGAGGTAGCACTTGGACCTTGGCTTAGTATTTGCAGTTATAAGATTTCATCTCTATCTCTATGGTCGACATTTCACTCTGATGACAGATTACAAACCTTTGAAAATAATCTTTAGTAAAGAATGTGGCACAACAAAAGTTGATGGAAATCGAAGATGGGCTATGATTCTGAGAAGATAGGCCATGTTATTAGTTATCAATACCTGGCACGTCTTCCACGTGCGACAACAAACACTCCACCTGAAGAAGGCACAGGGTCAACGAAAAGAGCTCATTGTTTTCGAGTACGAGTCCATATACTACCAGTTTCGAAAAATTAATTAAAATTAGAAAGAGAGAAAGACAAAATATTCCGAAGATAATCAAATATGTCCATTCTTATTAGCCTGAAAAATCAACAATTAACCAAGAAATGACATCTTTTTACGAAAAGCGGGACTAACTTTTTTTTAAAGAAAAAATTCTCCTATGGAAAGGACGCATTTGCATTACTGAATCATTAAAACAAGAAGTTTTGGAAATGTTTCATGGCGGACATCCTGGAATAACAGCAATGTAATCTTGTACTCGTCTACATGTTTACGGGCCCGGTATTGACAATGATATCATTAAATGTGTATCAGTCTGAGACAAAAACAGTACCTACTGTACTACTAGGCAAAGTCCTACTGGAGTGCCCCACCAGAACCCTGGTCCCGCGTTTACATCAATTTTGCTGGCCTGTTTGAAGGCAAAATATGGTTAGTAGTTATTGACGCTTGTTCAAGATGGTTGGAGATTTCACCAATGCATTACAACTACGGAGGTAGGTCAACAAGATTTTTGTCAGTTAGGATATCCAAAAATATTTGTTTCGGATAATCGTAGCTGACATCTACTGAATTTCATAATTACTGTAAGAAGTACACACATTTTTACAACACCGATAAAACCTAAGATGAAAGGTTACAAGCATGGGCGCCGACAGGGGGGGGGGCAAATGCCCGATTTGCCTCCCCCTGCCCCCCTGGATTCAGAAAGTTGAATTATACAGCAAAATCAAAATATATTTATTTTCCCAAAAATATAGAACACTAAAACATATGTCAATAGAAATCCACAAAAGAGCATACATTTTATACATACATAAAACAAAACTAAAATATCAACCCCTTTTTTTATTTTTTAAAAGTTTCTTATTGTTTGAACAATAATTGAATCCTTCTGGGGCGGAGACCGAATTTTTTAATAACTGCATCGATAAATGCTTTATTTTCTCGGACTCTTTTACGATGAATACTCATCATACAAAGTCCGGAAAGTCCATCATGCCTCATAGTCTCATAGTCGATCTTAGCCATGTCTTGACCCTCCTTAATGTGCTCAAGGACCTTTCAATGGTACAGGTTGTGGCTGGAAGGGTTAATCCAGTTTTGATTGCTTCCGTTACAGAGGGCATATTGCCTAACGAAAATTTTAGCAGGTCGATATATTTTAATTTTTCAATTTCTTGAGGAGCAAGTTCAGACAACTTCCACATCTCATACCAGGTTTCTGCCTCTGACAGAAACTTGTCCAAAATATCTCCGTAAAAGTTTTGAATGGCGGCTGAAACACTAGAGCTACTCAGCTACTCGCTCCGGTGTTAGTCGACCCCGATTTGAAAGGAATAGATGCGCTGGCTTTCATGCATTAAATGGTTTGAGTCGGGCTTGAGCACTCAGGTGCAAGAAACACTTTTTGAAAGAAATGAGCGCATTACACCCTGGAGCTGTTTCGGAGCTCCTTGGAGGCGTGAAAGGAATACAACTAGTGAGGAAGATGCAGAAAAAAAAAGTTGCATATTATCAAGCTGAACTGCAGGCATGTTTTCACGTTCAATGAAACAATAGTTTTAATTTAATTATTTTTTAGTTATCAACAGACAAACTGATAAGCGATGCATAGGGCAAGTTATGGAAAAGTGAATGACCTTCACATTTACGAAAATTTACACCTAGTGGTGCCGCGAGACGAGACTAGACGAGACTTAGGGTTGGTCTCGTCTCGTCTCGACATCTCGAGACGAGACCGTGACTTAGTCTCGGTCTCGAGTACCAAAGTCTCGAGTGGTCTCGTCTGGTCTCGAGTTATACAGGGTGTCCAAAAAATAGCGTAAAAACTCTTCTCTACGTGGTGGAGAACCCTACAAGGAACCCCAGAAAAATACTTCAAAAAATCTAGTGGCATTCTTAAGAAAGTTATTTGCATTTTAATATTTCTAAAATTGGCAACACTGAAAATATCCCGTTGACAATATGTCAGAGAATTAAATGAAATACCCATGTAATTACCTGAAGAATTCGAAGGTGAATTTTCACATCTACCTCTTCATATTACCAAAAATAATGCTGGAGAAGGATTTTTTAAAGGATAACGCACACCTAACATGGGATTTTTGGGCTCTATGGATTTTGCCTATTTTTTGATATGTTGTAGAGGATTTAATTCTTAACAACCTTTAAATGAGACGAAATCTTGTAGGTATTACGGTCTTTGAGATATGAGCGTTGAAAGATGAACTTTTTTGCGACTTTTTGTATGGAGAGTATACGAAAAATTGGTGTTTATCAGTCAAAATTTTGACAGGTCGACATATTTCACGTCACCAACAAATGTCAACATAGGCTAAGGCCGGGACCGCACTGGCGCCAACATTGACCCTAGTGCGGTCTCGGTCTTAACCTATTTTGACATTAATTTTTAAGTGACGTAAAATATGTGAACCTGTCAATATTTTGACTGATAAACACCAGTAGCACCAGTATCTCGTATACTCTCCACACAAAAAGTAGCAAAAAAGTTCATCTTTCAACGCTCATATCTCAGAGGCCGTAATGCCTACAAGATTTCGTCCCATTTAAAGGTTGTTCAGAATTAAATCCTCTACAACATATCAAAAAATGGGAAAAATCCATAGAGCCCAAAAATCCCATGTTAGGTGTGCGTTATCCTTTTATTATTTTTCTAGGGTTTCTCAATGGGTCCTCTACTACGCTATTTTTCGGACACCCTGTATTTATGGTTTTTATTTTTATATTATAACGGAAGTCCAAACTGTCACAGTGAAAAAGCAATTAGTGAAAAATCACAGTAAAGAGCAACCGTGATATTTAATTTACTAATTTCATATTCAAATAGCCCAGAATAGTCCAATAATAAAGCTATGAAAGAAAAATTTTAAGTGTAATCTCGAGACTACACGAGACTCTCGCCGAGTCTGGTCTCGTCTCGTCGAGACTTCACGAGACGAGACCAAAAGCCAGTCTCGTCTCGAAAAGTCGAGACGAGACGAGACTAGTCTCGTGTCTCGCGGCATCACTATTTACACCGGTGGCGCATGTACGGGGACAGGACCCCAGTACCTTGCCCCCCCTTGTATCGCTGGCTGGCGGCGCCCATGGTTACAAGCTTTTCTGATTTCCTACCGCCACAACGCAACGTTCGACCGGAAGAAGTCCGAGTGAAATCATTTTTGGTTAAGGATGATTTTCGACCAATTAAAACCTGAGATTTTCAAGAATTTAGATCTCGACAAAAAAACGAAAGAGAAAGAATTTTCTGAAAACC